GCTGATTTGACAGAAGTAGACTGCCAGGCCTTCCTTCCAACGTGCCCCTGGATAGATTTGAACTGCCAACTTTTCAATTAATAGCCAAGCACTTCACCATTTGTGCCAGAATCAACCAAGAGCCAAAGGAATATTTCCTAAAGACAGAAAGGGTCTATGGTAAAGACTGGCTACACAAAGTCCAAATCCTTTCCCCCTAGGGACACCACAGCTGTACTTTATCTCCCAACCTCCCTGCGTGTAGGCAGAATTGTGAGACCAGCACTTCTGAATGGAATGTGAGCAGAAGTGATATGCCACTTCTGTACCCAGGTAGTAGGGAGAAGACATGCCCTCCCATTCCAGCTTGCTTTTTTCATGTGTTGACTGGGCAATGGCAGGATGACCACAAGGCTATATAGACTGAAGACAGAAGGAACGTAGGTCCAAAACAGCTACGAGAGCAAAGCTCCTTTGGTTGTTATCTGTGTATTCATTACACTGAAACTTTTTAGTATGGAAACTTTCCAACATACACAAAAGAAAACAGATACTTTAATGAACCCCTTAGCCCAGCTTCAACAGTAATCAACATTTTGCTAATCTGATTCAATTTCATCCATGCTACCCTTTTTTTTTTTTTTTTTGCAAGAGAAATTTAAAGCAAATTCCAGCTATATCATTTCACCTTTAAGTATATCAATATACATTTCTTACAGATAAGGGCTTTAAAAACACACACACACATACACACACCATAATACTATTATCACACTTGATAGCAAGGAACTGTTAACTGTTAAACCAAACCCACTGCTGTTGAGTCGATTCCAACTCCTAGCAACCCTACAGGACAGAGCAGAACTGCCCCCATAGGACTTTTAAGACCATAAATCTTTAAGGAAGCAGGCTGCCACATCTTTCTCCCACAGAGTGGCTGGCAGGTTCAAATCACCAACCTTTGAGTTGGCAAAAGAGCACTTCAACCATCGTGCCACTAGGCTTCCTGTCATCTAATATTTAGGTTTCAGTCACAGGATCCTGATTGTCTCAAAATGTCTTTGTACAGTTGTGTGTTCAAGTTAGGATCCAAGCAACATGCATACACCTCATCTGATTAATGCATCTTTGGTCTCTTTACTCTCTAATGGACATGCTGCTCTTCCTTTTTACCCCATGCTATTATCTGTTAAAGATAGCGAGTCACTGGTGCTGTCAACTTCGCCACTTTCTGGATTCATGGTATGTGTTCTCCTTATAATGATCACCTGTCTTCCACGTTCCTTATAAAGTAGAAATGAGATCTAGAAGTTTAAATACAAGGAAATCCGAATTTTTTGGCAAGAATACATCATAGATTAGTCCAAAGGACTAAAGGACCACATGAACCCCAGCCTCCATGATGATGAGACCAGAAGAACTAGACGATGCCTGGCCACCACTGCTGACCGCTCTGAAAGAGATCACAATAGAAGATCCTGGATAGAATGGGAGAAAAACAGAGAACTAAAGTCATTATAAAGACCAAGCTTAGTGGTCTGACAGAGACTGGGGGAACCTCCAAGGCTATGGCCTTTAGACACCCTTCAAGCCTGGAACTAAACTTACCCCCACAGTTCAACTTTCAGCCAAACAACAGACAGGCCTATAAGATGAACAGTAACACCAGGGAGGTACACACTCTGTACAACAATCAGTCATATGAGCTCAGAAGCATTTCCCCAGGGATAAAACTCAGAAGGCAGGAAGGGAGAGGAAAAAAGGGTGAATGAAAACGGTAAATACTAGGATAAAGTGGGAAAAGTGCTGTTACATTGTGGGGATTGCAATTAATGTCCTAAAACAAAATGCGTATGAATTGCTGAAAGGAAAGCCAATTTGCTCCATAAACGTTCACTCAAACCTCAATAAAAAGGTGTAAATATAGCTGAAAAAAAAAAAAAACATCACAAGTGGGACTCACTTCAGGGGACATATCAGCCTTTCATCTGATGATTGAAGCATCCACAGATGATCACTGCCTAGGTGCATTATTTCATCAAGGTTTGCTAAAAAGATGATTTTTAAAGTCTATCACTTCTTCTGTATTTATTAACTCAAATTATTTTATTTAAAAAACTCAACGTTCCCTTATCAATTCTTTGGTGGCCCTAACACAAAAGACACAATACACAGGAAAGGCAAAATCAATGCATGATTCTCTCCCTTTATTTAATAGAAATAAACTTTTATTCTATTAAGTCACTGAAATCTTGAAGTTCACCTGTTAATGCTGCTAACATTATTTACTCTAATACTCCATCTTCCCAATCACCAAGATAAATCAGTAAAACATGAATTATCCTGGAAAATAAAAACTGGCTACTATAGGAGCTCTAGGAGCTCTGGTAGCATAGTGGCTAAGGCACTTGACTGCTAACCAGAAGGCTGGCGGTTCAAACCCACCAGCCATTCCTCGGAAGGAAGGTTGGGCAATCCTACTTCCGTAGTGATACTGCCTCGGAAACCCAAGGAGGGGTCACTATGAGTCAGGGCTGACT